GGCCCAACCTCCGGCTCGGGCTGTCTGGGGACGAAATCCACCTGAAAAATATAGAAATTGACCCGCCCGTCTCCGAGCCCGGTCGGGCCGGGGATCCCGCCGGGCGCTATTTGGGCGCTAACAGCCATGTTACGTGCGTCCTACCCCCCGAATCCGGCGTAGCCGGCCGCATCTTATGTGAAAATCCCTGAAAACTGCCCGATTTTCGACCCCCGAAAAGGACCCAAAACGGCCTCCAAACGGATATGAGCTCTTGGTGAGTTTGCCGGGGTCCTGACAATTGCGAGAACTGCCGAATGTGGCGCAACTATCGACGACACATGCTCCACCACCAGGAATGGAGCAATTAGCAGACGGGGAACTCCTCAAGTGACATTCTGTGGTGAGCTGTGGGATGATATACTGCGGAGGCGGAGGCCACGGAGTGGCGGCTGCAGTTCGACAGAGATTGTTGACTCCGCAGGCCACAAGTTGTAAGCGACCGCCGTACCCTCATCCCCGAATGGCAGGAATGCACATAGAATGATACGAACCGCCGGTCTATCTGTTCTAGATTGCACTGTGGCCGGTGGTGTCTTGACTCCGGAGTCCTGCCGTCGGGCCTAACGGTTAAGCAAATCAAACGCAAGTAGCAGATCCTGTACGGTGCGATATGTTCAAGAGTATAGCAAGCCAAGAAGCGAGCATGACTGGAGCGAGGGAGCTGGTAGGAGACTCTGAAGTAATCACGCTCATGAGATGGAAGTTGAGAGCAGCTTCAAGTCGCGATCGGAATCAAACAGCAGCGGCGAGGCTCCGATGAACTCGGAGAGGCGAGGGCTGTTCAAGTCACCATATGTAGCACCATATGGCTCCCCCTTACAATCCGATATGGTGTAGTGGCTAACATTATCGCCTCTCACGCGATAGCCCGGGGTTCGATTCCCCGTGTCGGAATGACTTTTTGTAATCGTTCCATCTGAACTTAAGTGGACCCGCCGCCCGTGTCCGCGTCAGGAACTAGTAGTTATCTTAGCGAGGTAAACATATATATAGCCATATGCATATATACACTAGTACAGAGTGTGTAATCATACAGGCCCTACATCCGTCAGATATACCGTTCAGGATCACCTACTGCTCATGAAAGAACCCCTCGAAGTCCCAGTCCTCCCTCGCCTCGCCCTCCCTCATCCACCCCAGTCTTTCCATCGCCAGACCCGACACGCGCACGAACAACGACCCGTCGAGGCGCTCCACCCCGTCCAGCTCGACCCCAAGCTTCTTCAGGTGCCCAGCGGGCGTCGCGCCATACAGCTCGTCAAAGTGCGCGAGCGACCGCTGCAGCTTGCAGAGGTGGTCGTCCGGGTGCTCGAGCGTGCTCTGCGCGACGGCGAGCCACGCGCTCGGCGTGCGGTTCTCCGCGGTGAGCGTCCCGTCTGCCGGCGTGTTCTGCGGGAGTGAGGCGGCGGGGGGCGCGGGCGCGGGGGAGACGCTGTCGAAGAAGTCGGCGACGGGCAGGGCGGGGCGGCCGCGCGCGACGTAGAGCGCGAGGGTGTTGAGGAGGTAGGTGCGCAGGAGGATCGCGGTGGAGGTGGGCGAGAGGTATGCGACGATCGAGGGCAGGAGGAGGCTGGACGTGACGAGGTGCACGCTGTGGGACGCGCGCCGTCGTTAGTAACTGTCGCGGTGAACACCAGGACATAGTGCACTCACAAGAAGAAATCGGCGTTGAACTTTCCGGTCTTCGATTTGGCACGGGCGCCCCACCCGGCGATCCCAAACAACACGACGTTCGTCCAGAACAGCTCCTCGATCTTGCTCGCGACCTCCGCGGCGTTCGTGCCGTCCACCGTCCACTCCTGAGCGATCTCAGCGAGCTCCGCGCCACGGAGATGCAGCACGCGTTCGAGCGACGTGTCCTCCTCGCTTTCCTCGGGGGGCGGAAGTGCGATCGTCTTGTACGAGAAATGGTCGTCATGCATCAGGCGCGAGATCAAGGTCAGCGCGTGGACCGTCTTTTGTGGGGCCTGCGGTTCAGCGGGGGGCGCAGCGCGGCCTAGTCCAAATGACGGGAAGAGTGACGTCAGGCGGGATACTGTCGCGTTGGCTGCGTCGTTCGTGGCGGCACCTATGTACTGCATCAATGTCGGCGGGGTAAGGGACGGCGCGAGTGGACTATGCACAGCCGTCTCCGCAAGTCCTATAAGGCATGTCAGTTCACAGCAGCGCCACGGGGGAGAACATAATGACTGACCTTCTGCCAGCTGTCCGAGAATCCCAAACTCGCACCCATAGCCAGTGTGGATCAGCGGGTGCAAGAGGCCGGCTAGGAAACGATTTGCCATCTGCATCGGCTCCTTGCCGGACTTAGGAGGCTCGATGTTCGCCCTTGGCGAGAATATGAATTCCTCGATCACCGCCGCGGGGCCCTTGTCGAGGAGTTCGTCGCTGAAGAACTTGAGGTAGGCATTGTAGTAACTGCAGCATTGCACGTTAGTTCATCGAGCATACGCAATGGACAGCGACCAGTAGCAGTGGCAAAGGAACGCACTCTTCGTCAGCCAGGTGCTCGTGGAAGTTGTCGCGAGAGATGGCGCCCGGGGACTCGTATGCTTTGCGTTGGTATGACGTATGAGTCGCGTAGGCAGCTTTGATAGTCTCGCTGTTTGCGCCGAGGTGGTACAGGGCGAGCAGATGATGACTTGTATGACTACCGTATGTCCAAGTCAGCGGCGGTGTCAGTGATGGGAGATAGGACGCATACGGCGTACTTATGGAAATGTTTTTCGTTGAAGAATATGTGCCACTTCACATGGTTATCCTTCAAAGTGTCGAGCAGCGTCGCCGTGGACTCGGGTGTAACGCCAGGGAACCGCCGAGGCGCTTGCGCCACAGGAGCGTGCGACGGAATCGGGTAGAGCTTGTCCAGCTTCGCCTGGTCGAAGCTCGGCGCACGGTGTTCGGTCATGACGATTCCTCGACGGGGTAGCTGTGCTGGTAGTAGTCGTTTTGGAAGAGCGTGTTTGCCGCCTAGGAGGCGGGGCATGGCGGGAACGCTTATATATACGGCCTGCGCGTGAGCTCAGCTCTGTCGCGGATGACGTCAATACGGCAGGTGAGCGGCCACCTGAGAGGATATTTCAGTGAAGAGATTCCACGCTGTACTTGAGGAATCGAAGGATACATACAGTGTGTCTTGACAGAGCCCGGTCTAGACGGTCGGTGGGCGAGTCGAAGGCACAGCTGCATTCTTCCGTATACATTCAAGTTGGTACCAGTGCGCCACAGACGAGGGGCTCGACGTGCGTGGAGCACATTGCGTATTAGATTTGTGCTGACGCCGACGCGCTGACGGATCCTGGTACTGTCACGGTGGGCGAGATGTTCGGGACTCTGTGGCCATTGAGGTATTCCGAGAGTCCTAAGCCGTCATAACTTTAAGGTTATAGCCTCAGCAATGCAAGTAGTAACAGCACGTCTCCGATTCGCTGACGCCGTATATGTACTACCGGCGCCAGTTCATGTGCAAGTTACGGTCCGGGTGTGCGCACTACGTGCTATACATATTGAAGAAGCCTGAGGATCGAGACAGCCTGACACTGACTCTGGGGAGAAAACCAAGGACGCGAGATGTGCGCGAATGTGCTATGACGGTGCAAACACAGAGCGCAGACGGGAGAGCAGCGCGAGTCTAGTACTTAGCGAGCCGCAATCATTTCTGCTCGACCATCGCGTCCAAGAGCGCCTTGGCCTTCGCCGACCGGGGCATGATGTCGCATTTATACGGGGGCGGGTGGATGATCGAGCCCGACACATATTCGGCGGAGGGCTCGATAGGCGTGCCGTTCGCGTCCACAGGCTTCGCGATCTTAAACAGGGCGAGGGCCGTCGCGATCGTCAGCCACACCGACGCGTCTGCGAGGTGGAGCCCGGGGCAGATACTATAGAGAGTGAGGAAAAGGAGCGTGTCGGGCCTGGTCAGCCTGGTGCGCGGAGCACGAAACACGAGAGGGGAGGGGGGACGCACCGACGACCGAAGCCGAAGGTCACGCTGCGCGGGTCGGTCTGCGGCGCCTTCCCGGGCGCGGTCATGAATCGTTCGGGGTTGAAGGCCATCGGGTCGGGGTAGGTCTGCGCGTCGTAGAGCATATACCTGTGAGGAAGCGCTTAGGAGTTGGTGCCAGCCCGGGACTTGAATGGGGAAGGAACACGAACACGTACCACAGGTTTGCGATGATGTAGCTGCCCTTCGGGATGAAGTAGCCCTCGTGGACGTCATCCTCGGTGGAGCGATTTCCATCACGGTGAGATCTATCCACACCGCCAGCTGCTGAATATTCCGAAAGATACGGGGGCGGACGGCAGTGCAGCAGGTCGTCCCACCCTTCACGCCCATTCCGAGTCGATGGGCGGGTGCTCGGGCGGTCTTGCGGATCTTGATACCTAGCCAACACCGAGGGGCATGCACAAATGACAGAGGTGGACGTGCATGCCGTACTATGCATTTGTCTTCCGAATATCATCTGCAATATAAATAAGTATATTCGCTTCAATTGCATGCTGGTTCATAAGCATACCGGTGAGCGTTCATGAACATTGCGCGTTCAGTATGAGCTGCCAGTGGCCCAGTGCATCAACGTCGATGCGGAGTCAGCCTTATTATAAAATCGAGCGGGTATGTCGGAAGTAGATGCATGATGTTATTCGAGAAGTGACACAAGTCCACGTTATGTCGCAGGTACTAGCAAGTTACTGGTATGTGTGATAGTGAGCCGTGCGCAGTACTGCGTTGGTGCAAGAGCGCTTTTCGAGGGCATACGGATGTTTTCTGGTCGCTAGTAGCGCACAGAGTCGCCGAGTCAGAGTATTAGGCTCAGATATGAATCGAGGGGAATGTATCGGCAGGAGGTGTACGTAGTACATGCATGATGTATACGAGACTAGTCCGAGTCGCAAACGCTCGTGCGCTCAGAAAAAGGCGCTAAGATTATATTGACGCCACTCCGCGACGCAGACATGCTTGGATGGCTCAGTTGGTTAGAGCGCAGGTCTCATATTTCGCATATGACCGCCCTTGTGGTGGGTAATCCTGAGGTCATGAGTTCGATCCTCATTCCGAGCATTTTTAGCTCTCGCTGTGGATCTTCTTGAGTCAGTGTTTGGCTTGTTCTACGCGCACTTACTTGGCGTAAAAAGGCGCCCGGAGGAAGACAAGGGGCCAGGAACATACTAAGCTACCTATTGACACCGGTAAGCTTCTTGTCTATCTAGTCAAAACGCTCGGAATGAGGGTTGAACTCATGACCTCAGGTCTCTATCCACGTAAGATTAGAACCTGTGCTCTAACCAGCTGAGCCATCCGAACTAGGGGCTTTCGGCGTTCGCAACTTGTCCATGAAATTGGGGCATATCTTGAGATAACGCAGCCGAGTTACGGGGGTATGGTAGGGTATGGTCCAGCGACCTGATACAGCTAATCAGACTGCTACACAGTCTGATTTTTCATGCACAGCTCATGGAACGAAGTACTTTAGAACTTCAATATAAATTCAATCGCGAGGGACGCGCGCTTCCCATAAGTATCCTCGATGATGTCACGCGGCATGGGCGTCTGCAGCCTCGCTGGGGACGCGCGTGGACGCTTAATGGGATTGCTCCTCTCCCGGTGCCCTCCCCTCATCCTCATCCAGACTCATAACCTACGCACATCCCGACATTTCCGCTTTGTTGCGGGGATATACCTGCACACTGTTGCAGCTGCCGTCTTCCACGTGAATTTCCTCTCGGGATTCAGACGCCCGCTTCCTCAGCCACCCCAGAGTCCCAACTGCTCGCGTTCTCTCAAGCTCCTTATACCTGCTTTTTTCAGTTTTCCATAACTTAGTTGCATCGCATTTGTCCTGCGCACACGATCCACTATGTCGCAAACGCAAGACAAACCCAACGCGCCCATTAACGTCAAGCTCCTGCTTATCGGCAACTCCTCCGTCGGGAAAAGCAGCCTCCTCCTCCGCTTCTCCGACGAGCAGTGGCTCCCAGAGGACGAGTCGAACGCCACCATCGGCGTCGACTTCCGGGTCCACAAGATGGAAGTCAAGGGCAAACGGGTCAAACTGAGTATATGGGTGCGTGCACTGCTTCTACGCACGCATACAGACCCTTACTCTGCGCCTTTGCTGCCCTGACAGGACACCGCGGGGCAGGAGCGCTTCCGCACGATCACGTCCTCGTACTACCGCGGCGCGCAAGGCATCATCCTCGTGTACGACGTCGCCAACCGCGAGTCGTTCGAGGCGCTCCCGAAGTGGTTCTCCGAGCTCGAGACGTACGTCTCCAGCGCGGTCGTGAAGATCATCGTCGGGAACAAGGTCGACAAGGTGCGCCACTCGTTTCCCGCCTGCGTTGTGCCCGTCGTATCGCTGACCACCGAGTGCATTTGCTGCGTGCTGCGCGCAGGAGTTCTCACGACAGGTGCCCACGACGGAAGGCGAGGCGTTTGCGAAGCGCATGGGCGCGCTATTCGTCGAGGCGTCCGCAAAGACCGCCGTTGGCGTGGAAGACGCGTTCCGGGACGTCGTCGCACGCATCATCGACACGCCCGAGCTCTGGCAGGCGGGCGGGCGCCCCGGCACCGGAGCAGGGCGTGCGGGCGGTCCGCGGCGGCGCGACTCGGGCAACGATGACATGCCGGGGAGCATCGACCTGCATCAGGAGCAGGACGAGGCGGAGAGCGGGGGGTGTTCGTGTTGAGTCGCTGGTTGGGCGCGGGATTTCTCTTGGACACGACTTGCTGTTACGACGATTTCACGACTTTCATAGGACCTCTAGTGCGACTGCATCGTTCGACGCTGCTCAGTATCCCGTGCGTACTGCATCTGGGGAGCACATGCGCAAGCGCAGGGCAGATCGCTGTATATTTAGACAGTGGCATAATTTGCACCAGTTACTCACATCCGCTTACCGGACGTAAGCGCGAGATCTACCCAAACGGCGATCCCGGGGAGACTTAGCGTCAGTGCCGATGGTCTGGTGAGTGTTCACTGCTGTCGTTGAGCGGTCCTCAGGGTTGACTGAACGGCGTTTAGATGGCAGCGGTCGTTAGTCTTGATGTTCACCCCTGACGCTAGCCCCGGCTCGCGTTGGAGGGCGATCCACTCTCACAGATACCGGTATGAACACCTTCGAGGAAGATGCACCAGTGCATACCATATACCCGCTACCCGCTGTCTGTACACGGCGGGCATTAAACCATTGCGTATAGGTTAAATGGGTCCAAAAGTCGAGTCAAGAGGTGAACTTTTGACCGACTTATCGGGTCTTGAGTGAGTTGCAAACGACTTTTGTCCAGGACTCACTTCTAGGTTTTGCTCGGTCGGCAACGGGCCACTGCCTGCCGTGGTATGTTATTCAAGTTACCCAAGCGTACTTCACAGAACCTGATGAGCTGCTATCACTCAGCACTACTCATCGTGCACAGGCACCAGCGAGCCGCAGTTGAGCGGTGTAACGCATCGATAATCCCCTAGCCGATCGGGGACACAGGGGCTACGCGCTAGGAATGCTTGACGCTCCTCCTCAATGCTCATCATGCCGCCGACGCCCATCGCACACGACCTGGAGGCACCCCGCGGGCGAAGCGCGCATAAACACATTGTGAGTCTGTGGCGCTTGCTTTAGTCTGATCGCCGAAAGTCAAGCTTTCGAGCTCGAGTCGACTTTCGGGACCATCGTATTCTCATAGTACGCCACGAAGCGCCGAGCAACACGCAGAGCCTCGGTTGCGAAAGCTCCACCGTAAAGGAATATTGACCTGTTAGGCCGACTGGAGCCGACTACCCGCAAGGTGCGCGCATGCCAACATACGCAGTGCTCGCTCACATACCTCCGATATAATAGGACCAGTGCGCGATGATCTATCATCGCCGGGCGCGCGATCTGTGTCCCTTGCTTTTCATTTATGACCGACTTCCTCGGAGCGTGGCTCGACAAACGGGCATCGACCCGGGTCGGCGCGCGCCGATGAACACGCCAGATCACCGTGTGGAGATCTGCAATGCATATAGAAGGACTTCAAGGGGGGTATGTCGCTTCTTGGGGCCCCTCACTGTTGACATTCTTTCTTTTCCCTCGCCCCGCGTGCTGTTACGACCCTTCGCCGCCCACCATGGACCCATCTGCTGCCGCTTTGAGTACAACTGCTGCCGCTGCTCTGCCGCCCGCGGTCGATAATACACTCGGGGCGCTGCTTCTCGGGACATGCTTCGGGTTTATGTGCGCCTCCTACTCTTTTTATCGAATTGAGATCTGACTAGAGACTTCCTACAGGTTGTATGGTGTGATGCTTTACCAGGCGTACAGATATTATCAGCTGTACCCTAAAGATCGTTTTATGCTCAAACTACTGGTGAGGGACAAGATCCTCCTTTCACTCGGGCTGGCTCACTTACAGTTATTATGGCGATCTAGGTGACGGTGATTGTGTATGCTGTCTGGGGTATATGTTCGATTGGGGATGCTCCGTTTACATGTTATATAGGATCACGGAATCCCTTCACATGTCAATATGGGCGATAGGCTGGTAAGCTGCACACCGAACATCGTTTGCGAGTCACATGCTCACAGTACTGCGTGCCAGCTACGAATATCTCGTCGCCAACTACTTTAATCCGGCATATGCCGCCGAAACGCACTGGTCAGTAGCTCCCACTGGTCGCATGTTGATTCACGACATTCCACGGGGCGTTTTGTCTGATATTCTGATACCTCTTCAACTCTCAGGTTCATGCAAGTACGTTCAACGTCCTCCGTTATGAAATGGATCTCATTGCTGATACGTCTCTACAAAGACCTTAGTAGTATTCACGGTAAGCACTACACTTTGCGGTATATCGCGACCTACTCACGTTTCGATTCCACGACTAGGACGCTTCCGTATTGGTCTGCCAACTGTGAGCGTCGTCCTCATTCACTCTACAATGACAAGTTGCTTACGGTCTGTAGTTTTTACACAGCACGTATATATTATTGTACGTCCATCGCTCGTGGGGCGTGTTCTGCTGACTGAACATATCTCTCCTGTGCCAGTCGGGCCAGAGTGGCGATGCAGGATTCCCGCTTTCGTTGCTGTAAGTTTTATCGTTGTAGCACACTCGCAACCCTCGCTCACATCTCCCGTCATCTTAGCTTATCATCCAGTTGTCGTTCGTGGGTCAGTGTGTCCGACGCTGTGTACCTATAATGTGTAGGCTAACTCCCCCGCCGCGTGCATATAGGATGGACGTTTGGTGCGCACCGCTCGCTATTGCCTATCATACGCTCACATAGCTGATCACCGTCTGCGCTCTAGCCGCTGTCGCCAAAGTGTCCGTGACATGCTCTCCTGTGACGGAGGCAGCACCGCTAATGCTAATTCCCATCCGATAGCTACCAAGCAAAGTCGGCGGAGGAGTTCTCCCACTCGACTGTGAGTCCCTCCATCTTTCGCGTGGCACCCCAGAGACCATCGACTGAGGTTTCCCCTTCCCCTGTACGCAGTGGTATGTCTCAGTCTGTTTCGGCCACGCCGTGGTGTGCGACGTCGTTCTCGCTGGCGCCCTCGTCTACATCCTGCATAACAACCGCACGGGGATGAAGAAGTACGTCGTGGTGCTGCCCTGGGGTGAAGTAAGGAAGAGCAGCGTGCTGACGCGTATGTGCCGTTCCGCAGCACTGACAACATCTTGGACAAATTAATTGTCTACGCGATCAACACGGGTGCGTCGTTGCCCCATTCTTTGCCGAAACACACAACGCTAACCATGCAGCTTTTTGTCGCTCCCCTTTGTGTAGGAGTGCTGACGACGTGAGTGCATTAGATCAGACGTTCGCGCTGCAGGATACTGAGATATCTGCTAGCATCTTTGGTCTACTCGTCTTCGTCTTCGTGAGTGCTTGATGCATCATCTGGTTGCGCGCCTACTGACGATTCTTGGATGCGCTAGAGTGTTGTATACCCCACGAATTTCATCTACGCGGGAATCAGTGTCGCAGGCGTGAAGCGTGCGTCCCCATCCGCCTTTCTGTCGCGCTTCCTCGTCCGCTCTGCATGCTGATTCCCTTCGGGCAGTGTACTCAAATTCCGTG